ATGAATGAGCACAACATAGTAAATCAATTATACTTCAATAAAAAATAAATTAAAAAATTAAAAGATAAAAAGATTAATAAGTTCTAGAGATGTTTTGTACAACGTAGTGCCTATAGGTAACGGTAGTGTATGGTATACTTACAAATTTGTTAAGAGGGTAGATCTCATGTTAAATGCTCTTATCACATACACAAAAAAGCAAAGGGATGCAGGAAACTTGAAGGTGGTGGATATATCTGTTACCTTGAATGTGGGGATGTAGCCCAGGTGTATGCATATGTCCAAATTCATCAAGTTGGATATATATTTGTGCCATTTTTTGTTAATCAGTTATACCTCAATAAAGCTGTGAGACAAAACCCAAAAAAACAGGATGTCAGCTTTTCTCAATTAGCTGTATCTCACTATCACCCCTTCAGGTCAATAAATCAATCATTCCTTTCTTTTTCTGATAATTTAATTTATTTATTTGGCTGCGTTGGGTCTTCGTTGCTGCGCGTGGGCTTTCTCTAGTTGCGGCGGGTGGGGGCTACTCATTGCGGTGCGCTGGCTTCTCATTGCGGTGGCTTCTCTTGTTGCAGAGCACGGGCTCTAGGTGCTTGGGCTTCAGTAGTTGTGACATGTGGGCTCAGTAGTTGTGGCTCACTGGCTCTAGAGCACAGGCTCAGTTGTGGTGCACGGGCTTAGTTGCTCCGCGGCACGTGGGATCTTCCCGGACCAGGGATCGAACCCGTGTCCCCTGCATTGGCAGGCGGATTCTTAACCACTGCACCACCAGGGAAGTCCCGATCATTCCTTTCAATGGCTGCCCATGATGGCATGAGGGATGGCTCTCCATTTACCGGACCATCCTGGCTGGTGGATGTTTACAATATTGTCATCAGATGAACTCCATGAGAGTGGAAGCCAGTGAATGTGTGTCACTTCAATTTTATGGAGAAACCAAGGCACAGAGAGGTTATGTGGCTAGTCCATGTCTCCCACTGGTTCTTGTAGATGTGGGGCAGAAAAATAATTCTACTGCTGCTCTTGCTTCATGCTGCCACATGGTGTCACAGTTGAAGTTTTCTCCTGCGCAGCTTCTGTTGACAAACAGCCCTTCTTTGCTAACACTAGGGTTGTAGCTCCCTCTTTGACTTCAAAAGTCCTGTTAGGGGCACAGTGGTTAAGAATCTGCCTGCCAATGCAGGGGACACAGGTTCGAGCCCTGGTCTGGGAAGATTCCCACATGCCGCGGAGCAACTAAGCCCGTGCGGCACAACTACTGAAACCCGTGCGCCTAGAGCCTGTGCTCCACAACAAGATGAAGCCACAGCAATAAGAAGCCCATGCACCACAACGAAGAGTAGCCCCCCCCCCCACCGCAACTAGAGAAAGCCTGCGTGCAGCAATGAAGACCCAACGCAGCCAAAAAAAAAAAAGTCCTATTAAACCTTTTTCTGCCACTGACCGTCAGGACCTGTCCTACAGTTCTCTCTAACTTTGGATAACAGGAAGGTGGGTTGGAAGAGTTTAATTTCTTCTTTCCCAGAAAGCCCTGGTCTCCTTCTGCAAATCCACCTTCTCCCCAGTGGTCAACTTTGCACAGTGAGGTCTCAGAGGGTCCCTCTAGGCTCAGTCTGTCTTTCCTCCTAACCCCAGCATCAGGGGCCTTCTCTTCTCTTTATGTTTCTAAGGGAGACTAGAGTGTGATTATAGAACAAAGACCTCTGATTTCAAGGTGACTTTCAGACACGAAATTCATACAGAAGTTACAGAGATCCAAACACGGCTTTATATATTCATGAACACAAGCAGTTTAAATCAACACAAAACGTCTTACTTATTCAGACACACAATCAGTTTAAATCAACACAAAACGTCTTACTTATTCAGACACACAATCAGCTTTACCCATTTAAGTGTAAACAGGACCTGAATTCAGAATTTTGCTCACTAGTTTCTGATCCTGCAGCCTGTGCCACATTGGTCCTACAGCTCCGTGGCATCCCCAGATTTCAACCAGCAGTGATGGTTTTGAGATTCAAGTGTAATCTTCCAGGCTTAAAAACAAAAAAACAAATAAAACAGCAAGCACTTCTCCATACATGAATATATACCCTTAGATATTTTATGCAATTTTTTGTTGTGTGTGTAAATGGAAACCTACAGTACCTTATATAAATTTTCTGAAGTCCATTCTTCACCTGGGGCAGAGAGAGGAGCACCCTGTGTAGGGTGGGGTGGGGTGTGGGCAGCGGTGGGGGTGGATGAGAATGGGCTCTTTCTTGGGATGGTGTCCCAGAGGAGTGTTGCTTCATTTTCTGGAGGGAAGGACAGGAAAATCTGTGTGGACAACTAACCAGCTCCACAGATACTGGCCCGCCTGTCGGGGGCAGTGTGGTCTTTTTATTTTTAATGGGGAGGACTATTTGGGGATATTTTTAATAGGGAGGAACGTAAGTGTACTTCTGTGTCACTTAAAAAGAAACGACGAAACACTCCAATGGAGAGCAGGGAACACTCAAGCATTTATATGACTTAATTCTGGATCGTTATAATTTGCCTGTGTTCTAATAGGTTCTTTTTGCCTTCGTGGGTTTTGGAGGTGATTCTGGGGGGAAAAAATTACACACGTAATACAATCATCTGGTAGAAAATCCAAACAATGTGAAAGTTCACAGGGTAAGAAGTGAAGGAATCCTTTCAACAGCTACCCCATCCTACTTCCCTCCAGAGAGGCAACAACTGTTATCGTTAGCAACCCCAAGTTCATGAGCCAGATGTACAATGAGGCCAAACAAACAGAAACATCCGAGTTTAGAGCAGAGAAAGGTTTATCGCAGGGCCATGCAAGGAGACAGGTGGCTCGTGTCCCCCAAACCCCCAAACTCCCTGAAGGGTTTCAGCAAAGCATTTTTAAAGGCCAAGTGAGGGAAGGGGGCCGCAGGGTACGGGACCAGCTCCTGTACGGATCTCTGATTGGTTGATGGTGAGGTAACAGGGCAGTGGCACAGGAGTTAACTTTATTAGTCCTTAGGCTCCAGGAGGCCTGGGGGCTACATGCTCACGGTCATCAAGTAGTTAATAACTTCCATTTGGTGGGGTTTTTCACATCTGTGAAACACTTTCACATCAAACACTTATCTAGGTACTTCAGAGAGGAACTAAAGCAGAGGATGTGGGAGAAGGCTTCCCCGGGGGGGCCCCATAGGGTCCTGCTCCGTTACATTATTTTTGTGTGCATCCTTCTTCCCCCCCTCCCCCCCATACTCAGTGAGGTGTGGGACCAGCGGCATCAGCATCACTAAAACACCAATTAGAAATGCAGATTTTTCGGCTCCACCTCAGACACACAGTCAGACCCAAATTTTAACCTGATCCTCAGGCTGAAGTGTGAGAAGAACTGGTGTTCACTGTTTTTATAGGCATTAACTCACATGTTTGTGTACACGCATACACACGTGCTCCTGGGTTTAGAATGTGGCTTTAGAATACAGCTCTCTTTAGCGGAATGGTTCGCAATGGGTGGTCCCGGAACTAACACCGTCAGCATCACCTGGGAGCTTGTTAGAAATGCAAATGTCAAGCCCCACCGCAAACTTACAGAATGCAGACGCTCTGGGGGGTGGGGCCCAGCGCTCCGCATTTTAACTACGCCTCGAGGGGATGCTGATGAACTGCTCACAAGTGTGAGCGCTCTGCTGCAGAGGAGGACTCTTACCCCCCGCCGCTCCTGCCAGGCTCTCCGATCCCCTTCGCATCCATCTCCCCCTCTCTCTGAGTGAACCCACCCTTGTTCACCGAGGTTGCCCCAGACTCCAGCTCCACTAGGCACACACCGAGAGTTCCATTAATGCTTTCTTCCAGTAGGAATCTCGCGCTGATACAGGTTTCCCCAATTTAGGTCAAGCTGGTTTCCAGATCATACAATATGCCAGCTCTTGGAGGTTGAGGTAATTGCATAACATCTTTAAATGCATTCGAGCAGCCCCGTGGTGATGCAAAGAAAACGGGTGCCATACGACGGTAGCTCCGTTTACTGAAGCCGCCTCTACAGCCAGTCTCTCGGCAGCTGCTTTACAAACGCCAGCGCTGACCAGAGATCCATTTTACTGGGGGGGCAAACGGAGGCTCCGAGAGAGAGAGGAGAGAGCTTTAGATTTTCATGTCGGACCAGCTCCAAGTCTGGGCAGGATTTCCTCTCTAACGCAGTGCCTACAATGGATTTCCTTTTAAAAATAGCAAGCCAGACACCAGCTGACTCTGGGTGTGGGCTCAGTGTCAGGCAACGGCAGTTCTCTCATTAGTGTGGAAACAATTGGACTTAAATGTTCAGAAAAATGCTTAGTGGCTCTTGAACCAAGAGCCATCCGCTGTAGGTTTTTCTGCGCTAAAATCGTTGTTCGGGCCACGGTTTTCACGTGACCTCCGGGGCCTCGGAGTTTAAGACCCCCGCCCACCCGGGGCCCTCCTCCATCCCGCACAGGACGAGGCGTCCGGGGAATGCAGGGGGCGCTGTCTGCAGGGAGCCAAACGCCCCGCGGGTCAGGTTGGCGGCACAGCAGTGCATGAGGCCGGACCACCCGGACTTTGACCTGCGCGGGCCGGAGAGAGCCTGAATCTAAACTGAGTGAAAACAGTTGGCTCCGTCGGCACCCAGAGGCGAAGATCTGTTGATTAATACGGGATGCGGAAAGGGTAGAACGTCGATGATTACTCTCGAAAAGTGGTCACACCCCTAAAAAGTGGCCCCCTAGAGGGAAGTGAGAACGCTAGGCACGGACGGGGTTCGAACCCGTGATCTTCGGTTTACGAGACCGACGCCTTACCACTTGGCCACCGCGCCTGCGTTAGAATGGCGGCTCGGCGAGCCTCTATCCTGGCGCCACTCCCGTGCGCTCGCCCCACGGGCACGAGCGCGGGCCCCAGCGCACCCGCCCGGCCCCGCCCTTTCGCAGCGGCCGGCGGGGCGGGGCTCAAGCGTGCGCGCGCCGGCTGCTCGCAGCGGACTCACGGCAGCAGAGCGGGCAGGGAAGTCTGTCCGCCCCTTCGTGTCCGAGTGGGGCCGGGGACTTCGTCTCCGGAGCCCCCAGAGTCCCCACAGGCTCGGCGGGAGGAACTCGTTTGGAGCTCGGGAGCGCTCAGGACGCTCGCAGGCATTTCAGAGCCTGAGGTTCGAATCCCAGCTCCACCAGAGAGACTCCGCGACTTTGGACAACCGGTCTCGGGGCCTCAGTTTCCCCTCTAGGGTGAGGCACCCAGGAGGCGGAGGAAAAGGCTGTGGTTCCTTTACTAGCCCGACCCCTCGGGCGGTCCACGGCTGCTCTGCGTGGAGCTGACGCTCAACGAGGGTTGTTGAATGAATGTGTAAGTTTTCTGAAATAAAAAGCCCCAAAGCTCCTCTTCCCCCAGATTGCCGCGGTTGAGCCCTGGGTGTGTGCCTGGCCCCGGGGCCAGCAGCATCACTTGGGAGCTGGTTAGAAATGCAAATTCTCTAGCTCACCCCAGACCTGCCCAATTAGACCTGCTGGGGGAGCCGGGCAATCTGGGCTTTAACAGGCTCTCCTCCAGGTGATGCCGCTGCGCGGGAAAGGCTGAGTCCCAATGCTCTAGACAATTGATACGCATTCACATTTATGTATTCAAACGTGCCCTTTTATTTTTATTCAAATGAACTGACTTTAAAGTGCACTTTGATTCTCCATTAATTAATGTATGGATGTGTTAACTAATACAGTGGCTTGTAGTACATTTTATAATCACGATAAGTGATAGCATATATTATTTTTAAAATTAACACTTTCTCTTATACATTAATGTGATGTGTACTATTACAATATTGCATCGTAAATTATATATACTGCATTATATACTATAATATAATGCATGGATGGGATACCTTATTCTCTTTAATAGCTGCACGGTTTCCCGTCCAGTGGCTCTATCACAGTTGATTTAATCAATTTCTGGGAGTAAGGCCTTGGGTTGTCTGCAGCTTTTTAGCTGCACAGAACATTCTGCTACATGCACCTTTGCCGCCTGGTACCAGTGATGCTCGCAGGGTATAAGGAGACATAAATTAAGAATGTCCACAGCCCACTGTGCAGGTGTATAGGCAAATGGGAAACCTATACATGCCAGGAAGTTGTGTTCACCAAGTTGCTTTAAATGTCACGGTTTGGGCAGGTGACTGGAAAAGGCCCTGGCATTTACCCTCAGACAGGAACTCTGAGACACTGCTCCCGGAGTGCTTGAGATCTATGTGCAAATCTCACTGCAGCTCTTTAATTAAAAAAAAAAAAATTGAACATTTTCAGAATTAAAATGTATTACTGAGCATTGCCTTTGAATGGTTGATGATAAAATTGATTCCATTGTCCCCCTCCATTTTTTGGTGTTCACTGAGTTGTTGGAATTATTGTGTAGAAGTGATAGGGCTTATAAAAAGCGAAAAGAAATTAGAAAATGAGAGAACATCACATGTGAGCTGAGCCCAGAACTAACTGGCAGGTGGGATGGAAATGAGATTCTAACAGGTGCTTTTTTCAGCTTTGTCTTCTGAGGGGAGGGAGGGGATTAAATGATAGAGGTGCATCTGTATCTTGATGGGCAGGTGGGATGCCTGAGGTATGCAGTGTCTGGGGTGTCCTGAGGGAGGCTGGCCCTGTGACCTTCTGTGAGCCCTAAAGTAGAGAACACAGGTCTGATCCTACTTCTCTCACAGGTGTAAGGAGCCCTGAGAAGCCACAAATCTTGGACACCTGGCTGGAGGATCTGTCTGTCCTGGCCCCAGCGTCTTAGAGAGGTACCTGCACAGGTAGGTCTTCAAAAAGTATTGTAGAGGAAATTAACATGCGATTCCTTTCAGTGTGGTCCTCCATGTGGTTCTGGAGAACCTCCTTGGCCAGTGCCTTCCAGCTACGGTGCCAGCAGAGTCCTGGCGCTGAACTTCCTAGATAAGCCCTTCCCCGAGATTTTTAATCTGGTGCCCACTGCACTCAAGAGTAAGAAATCTGTGAATTCACCAAAAGTGTATGTAAAATGTGTGTGTTTCTGGGAAAGGGATGCCACAGTTTTTATCAGGTTTTCAGAAAGGCTTGCTGAGGGTCCTAGAAACCTTCAAGCCTTTTTACTCCCTCACTCCTCTGAAATGATTCACCCGAACCCCACTGAAATGCAGTGGGTCTAAAAGTGATTAACCACAGTTGAGGTTGCTTGAAAAAATGAAGGTGTCTTGGAGACACTGTCTCCTTCCAGGCAGGACTTCTGCGGCCACCGACCCCTCTGTTGGGGCCGCCCTCAACACCTTCACCCCTGCTTGCTGCCCGCCTCCCCGCCTCCCCCCCCCTCCGCCTCCCCGCCTCCCCGCCTCCCCGCCCCTCCGCAGCAAGGGCTGCATCCATTTTAACAGCACTTCGCAGTGTGTGAAGGGCTTTCACCTGCGTTAGCTCCATGGAGTCTTGGTTGTGGCCTAGCACGCTCGGCACTTGAACCTGAACATCTTGGGAAGATGCAGATGGACCCTGTGGCGGGGCTGAGGTTCTGCCTTTCTCACAACCTCCCAGGCTGTGCTGGTGCTGCTGGTCCGGGCCCTCACTTTGAGAACTGCTTTAAAGAGTACTTGGAGAAATTAATTTTCTTGCAGAGGAGGGAAAAAAGCCCCCTCAGGCTTGGATATTTAGGTTGCCTGAGGTGCTGACAGCAGGCTTTTCTCTGATAACCTAAATCAAGGCTTTGCCTGAAGAAGGCTCACTTAGCTACTCAAATAGCTCACTTAGCTATCCCTGCGACTGCATTGTCGGTGACGGACAGTTTAGAACCCAGGGCCAGAGCCAGAGGCCACAGCCCCCTGTCATTGCTTTAATCTCATAAATTCAGGGTTTTAGAGCAGGCTTGATGAGGCCAGGCAGGTTATATGAACCTGTGAATTGAATGCGTGGAGGACACACGGGATAGGGGCCGAGGACCAGGTGATGTGGTGCCATTGTACATTCCCGCCAGAAATACATGCGTTCCAGTTGGGTCACATCTTTCAATTTCTGTCTTTTATTTTCTTCTTCTTATTTTTATTGAAGTATACTTGGTTTACAATGTTTAGTTTCAGGTATATAGTAAAGTGATTAATTTTATATATATATATATATATATCTTTTTCAGATTCTCTTCCATTATAGGTTATTACAAGATACTGAATATAGTTCCCTGTGCTATACAATAGGTCCTTGTTGGTTATCTGTTTTATATATAGTGGTGTGTATCTGTTAATCCCAAAATCCTAGTTTATCCCTTCCCACCCCTTTCCCCTTTGGTAACCATAAGTTTGTTTTCTATGTTTGTGCGTCTATTTCTGTTTTATAAATAAGTTCATTTGTGTCATTTGTTTTAGATTCCGTATATAGATGATATATAATATTTGTCTTTGTCTTACTTAGTATGATAATCTCTGGGTCCATTTGTCTTTTTTATTTTGGCTACTCTAGTGGGTATGTGGTGGTACCTCATTTTAATTTGCATTTCCCTGATGACTAATGATGTTAAGCACTTTTCCATGCGCTCATTGGTCATTTGTTACATCGTCTTTTTTATTTATCTATTTATTTTTGGCTGCATCGGGTCTTCGTTGCGGCACACAAGATCTTTCATTGTGGGATGTGGGCTCTCTAGTTGATGTGCACGGGGCAGTAGTTGCAGTGCATGGGCTTAGTTGTCCTGCGGCATGTGGGAATCTTAGTTCCCTGACCAGGGATCGAACCTGTGTCCCCTGCATTGAAAGGCAGATTCTTAACCACTGGACCACCAGGGAAGTCCCTGTTACATCTTTTGTGAAGTGTCTGCTCAAATCTTTTGCCCATTTTTATAGCTTGTTTGCCTTCCTATGTTTTTTTTAAACCCAGTTCTTTTTTTTTTTAAATAAATTTATTTATTTTTGGCTGTGTTGGGTCTTTGTTGCTGCGCGTAGGCTTTCTCTAGTTGTGGCGAGTGGGGGCTACTCTTCATTGCCGTGCATGGGCTTCTCATTGCAGTGGCTTCTCTTGTTGTGGAGCACAGGCTCTAGGCGCGCGGGCTTCAGCAGTTATGGCACACGGGCTCAGTAGTTGTGGCTCACGAGCTCTAGAGTGCAAGCTCAGTAGTTGTGACACACAGGCTTAGTTGCTCCACGGCATGTGGCATCTTCCTGGACTAGGGCTCGAACCCGTGTCCCCTGCATTGGCAGGTGGATTATTAACCACTGCACCACCAGGGAAGCCCACCTTCCTATTTTTGAATCATCAGAGTTCATTGTATGTTCTGGACAGAAGTCTTTTTTCAGATATATGTATTGTTAGTATTTTCTCCTATTTGGTGGATTGCCTTTGCATGTTCTCAGTGGGGTCTCTCCAAGTGCAGAAGTTTTTAATTTTGATGAAGTCCAATTTATCAATGTTTTTCTTTTATGCTCTTTTGTTTCCTAAGAAAGCTTTGTCTACCTGGTTCACAAAGGTTTTCTCCAAGAATTTTTATCATTTTCGCTTTTACATTTAGGTCTAGGATCCATTTTGAGTTAATTTTTGTGTATGGTGTGAGGTTGGGCTTGATGTCCATTTTTTCCCATATCCAGCACCATTTGTTGAAACGATGATCCTCTCTCCATGCAACTGCCGTGGTGCCTTTGTTAAAATTCACTTGACCGTGTACGTGTGGTCGGTTGCTGTGGTTTGTGTTCCATTGATCTGTATATCTATCTGTATGCCAATTACCACACAGTCTTTGATTGTATTTTATGGAGAGTACTGAAGTCACGTATTGTAAATCCTCCAAATTTGTTCTTTTACAAAACTGTTTTGCCTATTCTAGTCCTTTGTTTCCATATGATTTTCTGTATACTTTTTAGAATCAGCTCATCAGTTTCTACAAAATGCCTGCTCGGATTTTGATTGGGATTGTAGTAAAGCTATAATTGAATTTGGGGGAAATTAATGTCTTAACACTATTGAGTCCCCCCATCTATGAATATTTCAGTTGTTTGTTGCTGGTGCCTATGACTCTTGGATTCCAAATTCATTTCGTTGGCATTTCATCATGTGAGATTTCTGTGATTTTCAGTGGAAGAGCAGCTAGAAAGTTCGTGGTACCTCTGTTTACCTTCTTTTGGCACTCCATCCAAGCAGGAATCCCTGCCACATAGAGGCAGTGTGCGGGCCCCTGCAGAACATAGCAGGGTGAGGACTGAAGCAGGATGTGTTGCCTGTGTAACCTCTGAAAAACTGAAGGTCTCCCAGCTTGGAGAGAGAGGCAGTAGTTTTTTCAACTCCCTTTCACAAATAGTGCCAACCATACAGAAAATGGTACAAAGAGGAATTCTGCAGAAAAATTACAGCTGTATAGAATGCCCTGATATCACCTCATCAAGTCAATCTTAGAACCTCTAACCCTGGAAAAATAAGTTTAAATTGGTTCATTCCAGAACCAGAATAAGATCAAGCTGGCAGCTATGAACAGTAAAAAGTTTTGTTCTTTCTCTTATCCCTTTTTTTCCCAGATATGCTCTGAAAAGGTCAACCAGATTATCTGAGGCACAAACATTAGTGTGCAGAGTTGGTGACGGTTTTATGGATATAAAAAGCAGTCGACAGTAACAGGATAAATCGCTATTTCTCTTATTACTTGTCCTGCATTAAGTGGAGGACTCCCACCCTCTCAGCTCTCAACTCCTTCCTCTCTCTCCTCTTCCTTTTCGAGGTGACCAGTCTTAGGAGTTTTTTTGGATTTTCCCACATCTTTTTCTGTTGATACGTATTTATACATAGGAAACGTAGTGTTTTGGGGGGGATGTTCTCCCCAACAAATGGTACATATTGTGCATATTTTGTAAACATGTCTTCTTTTTGATGTTAACTCTACAAAGCATCAGAGGTCTAACCGTGTCACTCCCTATGGCTCTAGCTCATTCCTTGTAACCGCTGTGTTCTAGTCTGCTCGGGGGACTGTAGCACAGTTTTAATAAATCCCCTATTGCTGGCCACCTGGGTTGTTTCCAAGTTTTCTTCATTACAAGCAGAGGTGCTCTTGCATCTTTGCACGTGGCTCCCCGTGCACACATGTGGAAGGTTCTTTAGCATAGATGTCAGGGTCATTGCTTTCCCAAGATAACTTTCTGCCGTAGGGTAGCAGCCTTAAGCAAACAGTGCTGCAAGAATCTGCTTGCCGGTGAGTGAGCCGGCCATCAGTGCTACTGGGCTACGGGAGTTGTATTTGCTCTTGCTTGAGGCTCTCATTTTCAACTTTGTGCGGAGCTGGTTTGGACGAGGCAGAAACAATCAGCCACGCACTTTGTGCGATGTCTTGGCCGAGGTCCACCCAATGTGGTGGAGACGTGTTATGGGTGTGAGTGTGTTGGTATCAAACCGAACAAATTCCTTTGGTTTCCAGTATTATGAGCTTGTAAGAAACATTATGTGAATGTCCCAAATGGGTTCCTTCACATATGTTGCCACTTTGTATAAAGTAGTACCAGCATCTCACATGAATGATACATGGTGTGTGTTTATTAGTACCGCAAAGAATCATTTATTTTCCTTTAGGTTTATTCATAGTATATGATATTTCAAAAACTCAAACCTTTAATCATTAACCAGGAAGTCATTTTGATAGATAGACAGACAGACAGATAGATAGATAGATAGGATGGATGTTGACCTTTTCCTAGGCCTTGTATTTTAAGATCCTTGTTACATAAGTGACACTTGATCTAATGGGTTTCAAAAATTTTTTTTAGCCATTGCAAACTTTTGGAGAATTTATCCTTGTTATTGGGGCATCTTCCAATATACGCTCCCC